CCTGTACTCTGGACGCTACTGATTTAGCTGTTTAAACAGTAAAGTTTAAGTTTTTCACATGTGAGACCTCAATAAGATGATATCTTTAAAAAAAAACATCCTCAGAAACTAAAAGTGGATTTAGTTTGGGCCTAAAACTGGAATCTAATCCCATTTGTTCCCGAAATGTTCTAACCATTTGGGTCTACTCATGTTTGCAGATGTAAGGCATGTTTTCCTTCATAGACGTGATAAAACAGCATTATAGCTCCATGTAATATTACTGTATGATGCAAAAAAGGAAAAACACATTGCATCGATTCTATCAACAGAAGAAGTTTTTTGCAGATAAGTATTTATCTGTAAATTTATAGAAGTTTTTCCAAGATGCAATTACTTTGACTCCTTTCTTCTTCTGTAACTGGCAGAAAAGACAATTTTTCACTGAGGTGAATCTGTCCTGAACATGAAGCTAAAAAAATAACTTCTTAGTGTTGAATAGGTAGATCCTCAACAATCATTGGAGCAGTTCCTGATATTTTAGAGAACGCTGGAGAGAATACATTTGGCGATCCAGTGGTTGTTAAGTTTATAGGATAAGCAGTGTGGGATGGGGTATTTGATGATGTCATTCAGAGCTAATTTGTCTAAACTTCAAATTTTCTCTCTGCTTTGTTTGTTTTGCTTCTTCATGGTTGGTGGCATTATGGCGTCACCCCACTCCACCTGACAGGAACATCAGCTGAAGCCTGCTGGCTCTTTTATAGTAAGTTTGAATTTGTCAGCGCTTTCCTGAGTATTAATCCTCCTTTACTCATGATTCTGACATGCAGCGGAGAGAAAGGCATGCTGGGAGATAACAGTGGAAAAACCCACAGCTTAGCCTGAACTGAGTAAAAATGAATCAACTAAATAGAACATTGTCAAACAACTACCTAACTAGTTGTGTGATCACAAAGCAAAGAAGAATTTTCTCTGTTATTGTTGCAAACAAAGACATGTTTTCTAAATGCAATTTGGGAAAAAAAATGCAATTCAGAAATAAAGTTTTGAAAAAAAACTTTACTTTTTTCCTAAAATATTTAAAGAAGGATGTATCTATTTTTTTTGTCAAGTTTATATTCCAAATAGTTTTTTTCACATATTTTAGATTTTTATAACTTTTTTGTCAAATTGAGTTTTACGAATTGCATAAGAACAACATTTCTAGATCTCATTCTCTTCACTACTGGGGATGAAAGTTCCTTTGAAAAGAGACGCAAGACGCATTTTTATTGGTCTGCTGGATGTTCGCAACATTTTTATTGGTCAGCTAGGTGTTAGCAACATTTCTATTGGTCTATTGGATGCTAGCAAGATTTCTATTGATCTATTGGATGTTAGCAACATTTTTATTGGTCTGCTGGATGTAAGCAACATTTTTATTGGTCTGCTGGATGTTAGCAACATTTTTATTGGTCTGCTGGATGTTAGCAACATTTTTATTGGTCTGCTGGATGTTAGCAACATTTCTATTGGTCTATTGGATGCTAGCAAGATTTCTATTGGTCTATTGGATGTTAGCAACATTTCTATTGGTCTGCTGGATGTAAGCAACATTTCTATTGGTCTATTGGATGTAAGCAACATTTTTATTGGTCAGCTAGGTTTTAGCAACATTTCTATTGGTCTATTGGATGTAAGCAACATTTTTATTGGTCAGCTAGGTTTTAGCAACATTTCTA